TGTGTGTGTGTGTGTGTGTGTGTGTGTGTGTGTGTGTGCGTGTGTACGTATGTGTATGTGTGTGTGTTCCGATTCCTGACTGGAAGAAATGTTTATCGATTATCACAGTCTTTCTGCTTGAATGTTATACTTGTACGTTCACCGTATCCCTCTCCTCAGCCCGGGTTGGTCGTGACAGATCGGAAACCCACCTTCTAAATGAATTATCTCTAAATTGTGTTGATGTAGTTTCTTAGGAGACTGCTAAGAGTATTGTGGAAGGAAAATAAATCAAATGAGGTTGTGCTTGATGAAGCCCACGAGGGACGCCCAATGTTAAAAACAATCAGGAAACGACAAATGCAGTTTTGGGACACATAAATAGACAAAAGGGTCTTGAACATTTAGCTCTCACTGGGAAAATTGAGGTCAAGCGAGGCATGGGTAGGCCCAGAACAACATACTTTAGGGAACCTAAACAAATGGGTAACGGGGAAAGATATAAGGGAAACGTAGCTTTTTTTAGAGCATCAGAGCAAAGGAATGAATGGAGAACCATGATCGTCGATGTCTGTCGCAGATCTGGCACTGGATGATGATGATGGAATTGTGTTGGTGGGGCTTCATCAATTACAAACATCTGCGTAACGTACAGAAAAAAAGGGTTTTTATTTAAAGTGTTGTACTTGTGTGGTCTATAATAAAATGTATTCACCTTTGCTTCGGGGTTGCAAAATGTATCAAAGATTCACTGCTCACCATGCATTCAGTTTTCTTTACACTTCTGAGAATACAATCACTTACATTCTTTTTCACATCACTACAAAAAAATCTTCATCATTAGATCTAGCTAAAGAAAAGACAACAGTCTCAAAAATTGGTACTAAAAAAATAGAACCAGACAGGTTATTTTTTCTCAGATTTATTCTAAAATTTGTTACATTTCATGTGAAGGCTTTTCATTGTTCACATTATCGGTATCGGTATCAGATCCTCAACATTATCCCAAAAAAAACAACACATCGTTATCATCAACAATAAGTTTATAATATCAACACAATCATCGTCGTCATCACACACACACACACACACACACACACACACACGCACACACACACACACACACACACACACACACACACACACACACACACACACAAATCACTATAAAAATTATAAATCGTTATCAGCAGTGTCATCAATGTTGTACGATTTTTTTTCTAAACGTATTACAACGGAGACTTGGACTTGGACACAGTTTAGACATTTTGGTTTGGTTGTTCTCAAAACAAAACAAAGTTCAACATATTTCACCCATGCGTAGTCTATGCGGCGTCGCCAGGAACAGGATCAAGACATAACAACAGCACCGTGTAGAAACATAGTACGTGTAGTAAATGTACGGTATGGATGGTAACCAGGCGCGGTTCGTCCATAGAGCACGATCGAGCAGTGCCGCCCAATTTTTTTAAATTTTCTATTTCGTAAAACACCCACAATAATAAAATAAAAGAAGCCAGAAACAAACAGGTGACCCCCACCTCTTTCTTTCGCAAATATCTCGACTTGTAATCAAGGTAAATGGATAATATTTTCATCCAAATAAAGACAAACGAACAAGCTTTAAGATGATACCAATAACTCTACATGGCCAAAAATTGACCAGAGCCTGATTCCACCACTCTGCATCACATTTGTTTCGCCACTCAGAAATCGAACTTGGGTCTCCCAGTCCCCGGGGCTTTATGCACCCCGCATAATTTAGCAAAATTTGATCATTTTGGGGGGCATAATTTCTGATTATTTTCCTTTATAATTCTTTGTTAAAATTAATAGAATCGCATAATTTCATATTTTTGGGCTCAGTTTGCATAATTTCAGAATTTTTCTTGCATAAAACGACGGGGACAGGTCTCCTGTGTTCAACAGCGAAGCGCCTATAACTGCTACGTCACAGACGCCAATGACTGTACGTTGACAATGGTGCATGGGCATAAGGGAAGAAAAATATCAAGAAACGTAACAACATGCACGAATGGAAAGAACTGAAGCTGAGTACAGAGAGGACATGTATTAATTTCATTAAAGTAGGTTCGACACTGAGTGGACTTTGCCAAAATCCTGAATGAGCTGTTAGTTCTCATAGTCAAGTCAATGATTGTCTATATAAGACCCCTAACATGCCACCTGGAAAAAGAACGTAACCTCCCCCCCCCCCCTCCCCCCCCCCAAGAAAAATAAAACAAACAAACAAACAACCCCCACCCCCCTTCCCAAATTTTTAAAATCATTACTTAGAGCTCAAAAACACCCTTTGCCTCACACCCCTAAATAATCACGAGTGTCAGAAAAGAATTCCTCCTCCTTTCTCCTCCCCCCCCCCCCCCTGTCATCACTTTCACCACAACTCAAACAAAAGCCCCATTGCTTAACGCCCAGTCCCAGTCCTAAACTTTAAACATGAGCTTGCGCTGTAGAGAAGTAGGTAACCCTGTCCTGGAGAGCTTGAGTTGTCTGTCAGACTCGAACCCGACACACGTGGAAACTTTGAGGAAGCTCAGTCCCCAGAGAGACCAGGGCTGGCAGTATACACTCCGCGCCACCCCGAGAATTTGCTCCTTTCCCTCGTCCTCAAGACGATTCAGGAGAGATAATTTGAGTTCGGATGACGACTCTATCGAGTCAAATTGGACAAAAAAGTCGACAGAGGCAAAGAGCTGAGCCACACGTAGGTCACCGACTAACAAGGCGGTGAAAAACAGGGAGAGTGGGCAGTTCCTGAACACTTGAGGACCGTCGCGGGAGGAGAGGAGTTGTAGACTGGGCAGGACTCCGCTGTGGACCAACATCTTCTCCACAACACTCGACAGACCGTTGACAACCGCCTGGTGCAGTTCCGGTGATGACACCGGGCAGGAAGTGGCAGCAAACTCCAACAAAGCGTGGCATGCCAGGACGTTCTTCCGAAAGATGGCCAGAGACAGCGCAGTCCTGCCTGTCTCGTCCGAGAGGCAGGGGTTCGATCCTGCCCGCAGCAGTTTCAACACACGCGAGTCATCACCAGGGGTGGTGCAGGCGGCAGAGCACGCAATCATGAGAGCCGTTCTCTGGTCACGGTTCTGAAGGTTCACGTCACTTTCAAGGTCAATCAGAAGGTCAATGGTCTTGAGAGAGGCGTGTCGGGCCAAGGCTAGCATGAGAGGAGAGTTGCCTTGTTTGTCCATCACATCCAGTTTGACCTCGAACTTAGTCAGCATCCTGATGACCTCTGGACGGTCGAAGTTGGCAGCCAGCAACAACGGCGTGTCACCTCCAGATCCAGACACGTTGACCTTTGCCCCCGCGTCTAGCAGCCAGCAGACGACCTTGTCTGTCTGTGATGAGATGGCCCGCAGGAGAGGAGTATTTCCCATGCGGTCGGCCCGGTTGACGTCAGCCCCGAGTTTCCTCAGACACCCCAACAAGCCCTCACTCACTTCCATGCGGTGACGCTTCAAAACCCGCATAAGCGCAGTTTCTCCGTCGTGATTTCTTTTATTTATCCAAAGCCGGCGCCCACTGCACTCACACAACAGGTTGGCAATGTCGCAACCATCGGCAGGAAGAAACATGAGGGAAGAGTTGTTCCCCCATGATAGTGCATGGACGTCCGCGTTACCCTCCTCCAGCAGAATCCTCACCGACTCAAAGTGTCCAGCTTGGGTGGCAAGCATCAAAGCCGTCATCCCTTCTCTATTTCTAGCATCAACTCTGGCTCCGTGAGCCAGCAGACAGCGCACAGCCTCCGCTTTCCCGTTCTTGGCAGCCAGTGCGAGTGCCCTGTTGCCTAGTTCGTCGGCACGGTCAACGTAATCCCCGGCTTCGAGCAGTCGCTCCAGCATGGCGGTTCGGCCCACGGTGCTGGCAACCATTAGTGGCGTGAGCCCTTGGTAAGTGGCTATGTGCGTGGAGGCACCGTGGTCCAACAGCAGCTCGGCGCACCGGTAGTGCGGCCCGCTGTCCCTCTTCAGGGCTCGGACGAGGGGAGAGGTGAACACCATGCGACCGTCTTCATCTCTGCCCTGGTTCAGATCCAGGTCATCCCCAGCGCTGAGCAGAACTTCCAGAGCCTCGGGCTGGCCGGATGTGACGGCCACCAGGATCGGGTCGTCGTACCCTGACTCCCTACGCCTGCTCCAGTCCACGCCTGTCCCCAGCAGAAGCCTGAGACACGCCACCTGGCCCTTGCGCGCCGCGTGGCACAGTGCCATCATCACTTCCCCTGCGCCGGATGACGGGCCAGCCGTAAGGTCAAGGTCACGGAGCAGGGAGGTCAGAACGGCGGTGTCGCCTTCCGAGATCGCACGGAACATGTCCATCGTTTTGTTCTCCGTGGCCGAACCCAATCTTTGACGCCGACACAGTTCTTGATTGATTATTGTGGGAGAGGTATGTGTGTTTCTCTCTCTCTCTCTCTCTCTCTCTCTCTCTGTGTGTGTGTGTCTCTCTCTCTCTCTCTCTCGGTGGGGGGGTGTGTCTATGTTAGGTGAGTGAGTGTGTGTGTCTATCTATCTAGATTCTATGTGAATGTGTGTCTATGCGTCTATGTGAGTTCTGTATGTGAGTGTGGGTCGGTGTCTGTATGTGTCTGAGTGTGTATGTGAGTGTGTGTTTAAGTAAGCGTTTAGACAAAGCAAACGAGGACAGTTCCACACAGCTCTGCGTTACAACAACATTCTTGAGCTTGCAACTGGAACAAGTCCACACTTACCACACGGTTGTCACACAAGACCTTCTGGGGAAAGAGAAGGAAGCAAAATAAGTTGTTGGGAACATTTAATTTACAAGGCGTCTTCTTGTCTGTGGTCAAGCTACAGAATGAAACTGAAACTACGGAAGAAAAGGAAGCAGATAAAACCAAACCAGCTGCAAACCACGCGCAACGTCAGTTCGCGCAAGCTTTGTGTTAGCTTGAAGACAGATAGTACATTGACACAGTGAGGCAGCGCGGTGAAATCACGCGCTCGTCAAAATAATGAAAGTGAAGAGACTGCTATTTTCCCGCAGGTTTAGAAAATTTTATCGAATTTTTGTTTTTCAGCTCAACACTTTTCATGCCCATTTAAAAACACATCTGTGTGGACTTTGTTTGTTTGTTTTGGTAAGTGTTTTTACGGCGCTCGCAACTGCATAAGGTCATATGAGAGCGGGACACACCTGACATTTTCAGTTGGCAGGAAATTTTGAATTTTGCCCGGGTGGCGGCCGAAGCCTACTCTCATCGATTTTAGACCACAAAGGGATCTTTAATGTGCGCATCTTGCACACGGGCCCTCCGAGATTTTTTCGCCCTTGTCCGAGAAGGCTAGGTGTAGATCTTTCCTACCAGAAGATGGGGTGTGGTAGAAAGACAGCAGTTAGGAGGAGCCAAGGAGCAGTAGAAAAGCTGCAGAAAGAGTCAGGAGCCCAGAGGAGGGGGCAAAGGAGGTGAGGGGGTGGGTGCAGAAAGTGGAAACGAAAGCAGACAACAGAACATTGCTAGAGAGCAGGGAAGGAGGTGAAAGGAGACAATTTTAGAGAAGAAAATTTTTCGGTCGCTACCCGGATTCGAACCCGGGACCTTTGAATGAGAGGCCAACACCTTAACCTCTAGGCCATGAGAGCCCCCTCTGTGTGGACTTTACTGAAAAACCTTGATTAAAGACATATAAGATGTAAATTCTCCGCCCCTACGGGCTTTCAAGCAAAGGAGATTATAACTAAACTTTGGCAGCTATTTTCTCGCTAATCTAACCTCTGAAACTAGGCGACCCCCAGCTCCTTCAATCACCAATATCTCGACTTGTTTGTATGAAAGATAAATGGACATCTTTTCATCGAAAGCAAGGCAAATGGACAGGCTTTAAGAGATGACATTGACGAGCGCTTGATTCCACCGCGTCGTGATACCGTTTAGAAGTTACAGTACCGGTAAACCGGAGTGACTTAGGCGTCTTTTATTAAAGCTTGCAGCATTCATAATTTGAAAAGTCATGAGTTTAAGTTTAAGTTAATATTTTTTTGTTCAAATTATGGGGAATGGTTGAAGACAGATAGAGGGAGAACCAAGGTAGACGGACAGAAACATCAACACAATAGAAATTCTAATAGTCATTTGTGAGGCAGCGTAGTGAAATCAGGCTCTCGTCAAAATAATGAAATAGAAGAAAACAGCAGTTTTCTCCCTGCTTAGCAATTTTGTCAAATTTATTAATTTGTTTTAGCTCAACACCTTTTATGTCCATTTACAAACACATTCCTCTGAGGATTTCACGGAAAAAGGTTGATTAAAGGCTCAAAAATATAAATTTACAGTTTCCATGGACTCTCCAGCTTTGGCGGCCATTTTTTCGCTAATTTTACCTCTTAAACCAGGTGACCCCCACCTCCTTCAATCCAAAATATCTCCACTTCTATTGAAGATGGGTGGATAATGTTTTCATTGAAAGCAAGACAAATGAACAAGCTTTAGGATGATACCAATAACTCAATATGTCTAAAATTTGACGAGAGCCTGATTCCACCATGCTGCCTCACATTTAATTTCGAGTTAGAGAGCAGAAGAAGACGCAGGATAGACAGATAGACCCATTATCATATATTTAGTGAGGGAAAAAAAAGCATGATAGGCAGACAAAAGCATCCAAACATTTTTGTGTGAAGAAGAACCAAGACAGACAGACAGACAGACAGAAACAACAAAGGGATGAAAAAGAAAAGGGACCTATCAGTGGCATAATGTAAACATATTATGAAGGCTACATTATGCCTCACTAGTATCAGTATTCATCGACGCTTAACGGTAACAGAGGATGAAAAAGTAAAAGTAAATGTAAGTAGTACATGTATCAGTATTTAATGTATATTGTTGCAGCCTATAAGAAAAATATATATATATACATCTGTATACATTGCACAGTTATAATATAATATTATAACACAAACATCATCGCAGTCAGAGACGTGAAACTTTTCAGACAGCAGAAAGGTCGACGGGCCAATTTTTAAAAAAATGTTTGAGGAAAGAGAAGCATGTTTCACAGAATCGACCATTAAGTGCTTGGGGAAAATTAAGATAGACAGACAGACAGACAGACAGACAGGAAAGAAAAGAATAGCAACATATGACATTCCAGTGACGCCCTCCAACCGCAAACAACAACAACAACAACATATTATTTAAAAGAGAAAACTTCAAGTAGTCCACGAATGACAACCCACAGAACAAAAGAACATTAAAAAAGCCTGTTTCATTTCTCCTCACACAAGGATTTATTGCATATATATTATATATATATAGATACATATATATATATACACGTACTGCTTAAAAGTGGGGGGGGGGTGGGGGTGTATGGCTACACTTGAAGGCTATCTCGCTCAGAGGACCAAATTTTAACAAATTTCACACATATAACAAGCATAGTAATGAGTCTTAAAACCCGCAATCAAATTTGAGAAGAAAGTTTCGTTTCCATGGATACGGCTGCCATATATTGGATTTTGTTGACATATCTTACGTAATGAATACCCCACTTACTGTTCATGAAAAATGAATGGGTTTTTTGCATGCATGTTAGCAAACATTAGACATAAAAATTTGTCTGTTAATTTTTTCCTAAACGATTAAAAAATTTTTTAAGGAATTATTTTCCTGAGGTAGATCTAGTACATGGTACGTATTCCCGTTTACAAAAAAATCCGTGAAAATCCACACTCCAGACACCACCACCAAAAATCTATATATCAACAGTCAAATTTTTAGTATTACATCTTTTCTTCATTCTGTGAAAATTTCATGAAGATTGGATGAAAAATGGTGGAGTTATTAAAAAACGTATATAAAGAGAAAAATTGCGATTTCAGAAAACGGCCGGTAAGGAAAAATAAAATATTCACTTTCTGAAGAAATGGTGGTGACAGACATGCCCTGTATCGGAAGACATAAAGGCTTTTGGGGGTTCTTATGCGATGAAATAGTTGAAGGAGAGGCTGAGGAAACCAAAAATGCCTACAACTCAAATTTCATAATTTCGAGTCGAATTGGCACCCCCCCCCCCTTCCCTTTAAGTCTCACAGTTGTATAAATAGATCTACATCTCGTATAACTAAAATAAAAGGGTACATGAACATACATACATGACGTATCTCCTCGCATGACTAATATACATATTATGTATAGTACACACATACATCCATGCATCTCCTCACGGCCATACTATAAAAAAAAACAACTATTACATGTATTTATATATTAGTATTATTAGAACTATACATAGTACATACACATAAAGGACACAGAGAAGAAGGAGTAGGCTTTTACAATCACAACTGCACAAGTCTTACACTACACAGCAATGTTCACGGTCCAACCATATAGTGTTTATTTGTTGTGTAACTACAGAAGTGACTCTCCTCATTCCCCACAACACGGAGTTGACGAAGCAGCCCATCACGACCACACAAGTCTTTATGTGGAACCCAAAATTCTTTGCCATATCAACAGACCGAAGGGCTAGAACCCAAAAGGCCGTTGGATCGGAAAAGTAAAGTAAAGTAAAGTATGTGAAACCCAATACATTTGCCCTTGGCGACAATCAATCAATAGCAATCTACATGATGTAGGCCTACTTCACATTTTTAATGGTTCAGGTCAGGGATGACAAACTCAAATTACCTACATTAATAAAATCAAAGTAGGCCGACAAGTTTAACTGCATTCACAGATAGACATAATAAAAAAAAGTTTGCTTTATTTGCAATTGTCAGAAGTACCTGGATACCTAGAGGCGTCATCTCTGACTCAGCAGAGGTTCGTTTTAGTAAGAGTAAGAGTTTTACGGCACTTGCAACACAATAAGGTCATATACGTGCCAAATATTAGAGGTGTTACAAGAGAGTAAAACGTAAAAAAGAAGGAGGGGAGATCAGGACGATAGATGATTGATAAAAAAGAAGGAGCAAACCACACCAGATCACCTGCCAACCACCCACTCAGCAGAGGTTGACGTGCAATGACCCACCATTGCTTACGGTCGTCAGCTGCCGCCCTACACTAAGTTTTAATCAGGCCTGTCCATGCCTTTACGTTATCGGTCCATGTTGTTCTTTGTATGTCCCCTCTTGGCCCTTCTGCCCCACATCTTGACATCAAGTATTTCCTTCATAATGTTCTGATGGCGTTTTATATGACCAAATTGTCGTATTTTTCTCCTTTTCATTTTGTTCAGCAGGCTTTGTCTTTTGTGTGGAAAGTCTGACAAATATGTCAGAAATAAGTAGCAATAAGTAGATCACATTTATCAAGCATTAATTGTAACATAAGAATGCATTACACACATTTGATAATAAAACAGTGGCAATATCTCTAGAATCTTAGGTCCTTTGAAGAGAGTAAAAATAAAAGAAGACAATGGTATTTCCTTGCAAATGCTTTAGTTTTACACCCCCCCCCCCCACCACAACTTCTACCATTTGCCAGCAGGTTGCTTTGACCCTGCCTGTCAGGGTATACCTGGGTAAAAAAGGAGGTAGGCCTACATTACAAAAATCCGATAAAATACAATGTGCAGATTCAAAATTTGAGAATCAAACTCACATTCTTGGCATGCAAACAAAGAAAATGCTACAGTAGCCATGAGATCCTGGGGCCTATTATTTAATACGACAGAAGAATGATTAACACATCTCTCACCCCTGAATATCTCTATCAGAAGATAATATATCTCAGAATGAAACGAGCACAAAAACATGCAGATCACACAGGTTTAAAACGTTCACAGCAACTAAAATACAGACAAATTTGTCTACAGCAACTAAAATACAGACAAATTTGTCTACAACAACTAAAATGCAGACAAATTTGTCTACAGTAACTAAAATGCAGAAAATTTGTCTAAGACGACCACCCTGTTAGACTATTAGATTGCTTATTATCAATATATAGAAGGGCAACAATAAATCCTGGATTGTAGGTCCCTATATTACCATGATTAATTTGAATTAAATGTATGTCCCTGTAATTGTACTTTTATTTTATCTACCCTCACACCAAAGATTGTCTGATCTTAGTGATCTTTACTCACTCCTCCTTCCTGTTTTAACCACATGTGCTCATTATGATTCAGTCTTGTCAGTGAAGCCAGAAAGGACAGACCTCATGTCATTTTCTTTAATGTTAAATAAATCGACCTTCTTCATCAAGAAACAGAGTCGCTACTTTTGCCTACTTAATTACAACAATGGCAGCAAACCCCAGTGCAACACACCCAACGTCGAGGAGAGAAGTGGCCGTCTTACAGTGTCATTATAATGCAAACAATACACCAGGGGGGGGGGGGGGGGGGGGTTAAGTGGCTGTTTGTATAGGTGGCTGTTAGAGTGAGAGCTGGTTCCACTGTGTCTCTCTATTTCTCTATTTCTCTTTGCAGCCTACCATACCCTCCTTGTCTTCACTGGTGAGGCAGGCAGTTTCAGGTAGATCTAGTTCAGGTAGTACAGTCGACTCTGCTTGTGTTGAACCCGCTTGAGTTGATCCTTTTCTCGGGTCCCAGCACGTCTTCTTCTTTACAGGTCGCAATGGTTAAGTTGAACTTCTTGAACTTCGATGAGTAGACCTTTTTTCACTCCCCTCGACAACATCAACTCATCCATAAGCGTCGGTGGCCTAGTGGTTAGGCTCTCGGACTCGCAACCGTAAGGTCGTGGGTTCGAATCCCGTCAGGGACCCGACGTTGTGTCCTTGGGAAAAGCACTTTGCACAAATTTTCCTCACTTCACCCAGGTGGAAATGGGCACCCAGCTATAGACAGTGAAAGATCTTGTCAGTTTGATAGTGTTTGAGCGCGTGAAATCGAATCCGCTTGTGTTGAATCCGCTTGAGTTGATCCTTTTCTCGGGTCCCAGCACCTCTTCTTCTTTACAGGTCGCAATGGTTAAGTTGAGCTTCGGATGAGTAGACCTTTTTTCACTCCCCTCGACAACATCAACTCATCCATAGTCGACTCTATACAAATCTCAGCATCTCACTCTTTTCTCTGTCACTCACGGCTTTAAGACACTTCAGCATGACCTACAATATATAGGTAACACTTCAGCATGACCTACAATATATAGGTATTTTTATATTTCACCTTCTATAGCCTGCAGCAGTTGGCTCATATCGAAAACCTCTTTAGTTTTGCCTTCTACGAAGCAAATATGAGAGGCTCTGAAGTCTGAAGTTCTGAACAAAAGTTTTCTCTGTAAAGAACACGGCAGGCCAGTTGCGGCCAACCTTTGTTCTCTGTGCCTCCCACCATCCACGTGGTCAGACACACACACAAAGCTTAGCGCCCACAGCGACCAGGGATGTGAACTCAAGCTCTTCACACAGTTCAGGGAGTGGCTTTTCCCTCTAGAGCGTAGATACTCTCGCAGTTCTTGTACGCCACCCAAGACCGTCACATCAAAGTTGTGGAAAAAATGTAAGGAGAGAAAAAGGTTGACAATGTCCATGTCTTGTCTCATCAGTGCTACGAACAACGGCGAGACAGGGAACGACAACTGGAGGGGACTGCGCATGATGCGTGACAGAGAAGCAAGGCTAGGAGATGCTCCAGCAGAAATCATGGCCTGGACTTTATCAAATTTGCCAAAGTTGACTGCTTCATGCAGCTCGGAAGTGACCACAGCCCCCGCAGCTATCATCTCACTGACCAGTGCAGGGGAGGACCAGCAGACCGCGATATGCAGCGCCGTCTCTTCACACTTGCTGGAATGATTAGGGTCGGATCCTGCCCGGAGCAACGCGAGGGCAGTTGCCTCTAGATCCATGTGGTGGCTAGCGACCATGAGGGCCGTGTGACCCGCGCTGTTCTCCATCCTCACATCTGCTCCCAGTTCCAGCAAAACCTTGACCGTGTCCGTCTGTCCAGTCTCGGAGGCTGCTGAGATGAGGGGAGTGTTGCCCTTCTTGTCCACAGAGTTGATGCTGGCTCCGAACTGTACCAACAACCGGACACATTCTGGGGGACACGACAGACACACTCGATGGAGAGTTGACACGCCGCTGTCGTCCACACAAACGTTCACGTCAGCCCCGGCTCTCAGCAGAACTTTGGCAACCTCTATGGACTTCTCCTGGATGGTTGAGAAAAGAGGCGTATTGCCATTTTGGCTCACTGCATTGACATCTGCTCCATTGTCAAGTAAAAGTTTGATGAGGTCCACATCAGCAGAACCTGCCAGTTTGTGCAAGACTGTCTCACCAAGCAGATTTCGGTGATAAACGTCAGCCCCATGAGCCAGCAGAGACTGAGCCACGGCAAGGCTGTTCTTGGCCATCAAGGTCAAGGCTGTCTCTCCCATGAAATCAGAGGCCATGTTGACACAAGCGCCGGCCTGGATGAGGGTCATGACCAGCTCCCGTCTTCCCGCCTGAGCGGCCATCATAAGAGCTGTCCTGTTCCAAACATTGATGTGGTTCACACCGGCCCCTGCATCTATCAACAGCTGGACCACTTCATTCCTCCCACTCATGCATGCATGCATCAGAGCAGTGTTTCCATCTTTACTCTTCTTGTTGATATCAGATACCGCCTGGATTAAAATCTTCACATTTTCTAAGTGTCCACATTTAGCAGCAAGCATCAGAGGTGTGATTCCCAGAATGTCTGTTGAATCGAAAGAAGATAGGCCTACTTTAAGACTAGGACTAAATCCTGTAACACTGGTGCCCAGAGACAGCAACAAAGGCGTTTCTTGAGGCGTCTCGACATCAGCGCCGGCATCGATAAGAGCTCGGAGGATGTGAGGCTTCTGCACGAGGACAGCCGCTAGGACCGGAAGACATCTGCGGGCGTCAGGTTTGTTCACGTCAGCCCCGCAGTCTATCAAGGTCGTGACACACTTAAAAGAGGCACAGAGGATGGCCTGGACCAATGGCGTCCTCCCGCTTCTATCAGTGACGCCATTCACACACCCCGCATGACTCTTGACGTATGCCTCAAGGCTATCAATGTCTTCCTGCACAATTGCCTGTCGGAAGGAGAAACCACACTCTGACATTCCGCACGCAAAATTCCTGAAATATAAACGAAGATTCTGTGTCTGAAAACAGCAGGGCCTAACAGTTAATCTCACAAAGAAGTCTCAGCAATAAACACATCTCTATCAACATTAGAGGTGGAATGCCCTTCCAACACTTGCGTCAGTTTTGTGGAGGAATGTTATAAAAAACACAGAGCTGTCCTACTTGAGGCTGATGATTAACACACAGGGTCGTTTTATCTCGTAAAATCATCCCGCCCAAAAAAAGTTCATTTTTTATTTTGCTTTCAAGAGGAAGTAGGTTAAGCACTTTTCACTTTTACCTCATTTTGCACTTATTGATTGGTAGTGGGAGCACACCCTGATGAGTAGTCAGTTACCACGAATCATTGCATTTATCATTTGACAATGACAAACACTATTATTTACACTGAGATTTATCAACAAAAATATAAAGTAATGAATGCAATTTACATCACAATGGCACTGTACAGTACAGCAGGAAAGAGTTCCAGCTTTAACAAGGCAAGACAATAATAGATGATATATTGCCAGGTGATGTGGCCAGCCTATATATCAATATATGTCATTGTCATTAAAATGTCATGGAGCAAATGTTGTAAACAAAGTTTCAAGATAATGAAATCATTTAACTTAAGACCAGTCAGGACAAGGCATAAAACTTGGAGGTTTTAAAGATAAATTTTTACAAATCTTACAATAATGACTTGTCATCCATTACGTAGCTATTACTGTTGCTGACATGTACAAAACAGATATATATAGATAGATCTATCCACAAACAAAAAAGGGTGCTTTTTCGGTAGTTCCCACCCCCTTATATTTCGAGCCTGACCTTCATCGAGATCTATACGTTGGATGCGAGCTAAGATATCAAACCTAACAACTGCAAAACATCAAATTATGGTAAAATTCAGGGGGGCATGAACCCCCCACCACATTTTTATTAGGACAGGGGGGCAAGCCCCCCTGAAACCCTCCACTCTTGAGGCCAAAACCGACGAATAACAATTGCGGGGTGGGAACTACCAAAAAAGCGCCAAAAAAAGTACACTCACCTGAAACGAGCAGACAACAGAAGTTTCAACAACGATATTCGCAGATCAGAACTTCATTCCTCCATTTAGTCGCAGGTCAACCATAGAAGAAGCAGGCTGTAACTTAAACTGATGACAGATTCTGACTTAGTCAACCTGTGACTTTAACTTGCTAGGTGTCTAAAAAATTATACTCTGCTTTTCTATTACTTTTGAACTTGTTTCACAATCCTGGACTGTCTGGGCTTTCTTGAAACAGGTGAAGACGAGTTCTTAATTAAATCATTAAAATTCTAAACACCCACTGGCAAATAAAACTTCTGAGGTAAATACCTAAAAAAGGTAAAATCCTGGCCCACGATCCAGATTCACACATATTATTATTTATTATGATAAGATTAAAATGAAGGAATGCACATTGTTGACACAAAGTAAGAGATTCTGAGAGAAGCTGTGTTTGGACAGAAAGAGGTGGATCAAGCTAGATATTGGAGGGGGCCTATACCATAGCAATCACTCAACACGACACAGTTAAAAGCTAACTCTACTAATGTTCTTTTTTTACTCAGAATTGAGTAAACCGGTCTACGCTGGAGTGAACCTGTTTTCCCCTGTCAAGCCTGAAATCTATTTTTGTTCTTGAATTTGAACGCTTTGATGCCGACAGTTGAGAGAGACAAATAGTTCTCACTGAGGGCACAGATTAACTTTTTGAAAACATCTCGGACCAGATTAAAAAGACATACCAAAATGTAGCACTAGCCTCTCCGCCTCTCACTCTCACTCTGCTGTCGCTCTCTGCAAGCTTGTTGGTCTGACATTAAATTATTATAAACAATCGTAGATCTATAGTAGTCGTAGCAGTACAATCATGGTGCAAAAGATAAAATTTCCGCTTCCCCATAGACTTGTCTCACTTAAGATCCTAGATTGCACACTTTTATATAACTGTCAATACCAGTGAAGCGCTCAGTTTGACTCACTCTGAAACCAAATGAAGTGCACTGAGGAAAAGATGCTACACACACTTGAATTTAATGAGATTGGTGTTTTGCCATTCATTGAGCACCCATGGTATACATGCTTGGCACATAAGTTTTTACACAGTGCCCAAGGCAGTGGCCATGATAGTATTTGATCTAGAATACCATAGTCTATGCATAAATAGCTGATAAGAATCGAGTTCCCAGACTGGGCCGTTTATAATTCTGTCAAATCCACAGAATTATACACTTGTAGTGTAGAATTCTGTGGTCAAATCACACGATGGTATTTAGTTTAGCGGTTATTTATTAACGTCAGTTAAAATCATGCTCGTACAAATAGATAATGTCGCCCTCCATCATTTTAAATATATTATTGTATGGAGACCGTAGACAAACTGAAGTACATTTTATTTTGTTGCTGAGTGTGAGTAATGTCGCATTCAGTTAGCAGCTACTTGGTTGGTGTGAGTACATTTTATTACAAAACAATGTAAAATTAATGGTGAGGTTGGTTGTTTTTTTATTGGAACAATGTCAAAGTCAAGAACTAGATCCAACCGTTTGTTGCTATTTGTTATAGGCTAAATATATTATTATGGTCACTGTGTGTGAAGAGTAAACCGGTTGTATAAGAGTATAATACGGAAGGGTAGGGCGGAGTTACATAAAAAAACCCATACAAGCACGCATGCACGAGCACACATTTATGAGTTCTCATAAGCAAACACAAGTCAAACACACATACTCACATAAAGAGCACACACACACGCATACGCGCACGCACACACACACACACACACACACACACACACACACACACACACACACACACACACACACACTATCAAAGCGGCTCAGAGAAACAAAGCCGGGGAGTAAATAAGCGAGAAATTTGTGACTGCTCGTACTACTTTCCTTCACTCTGGTCACTGGTCACCACAGTGCCACCGCCCAGTGTTTGTGACAGTGTGTTTTTTCTGATTTTGTTCGGTTCTCAGTTAAACTTTCTCTCTTGAAAACACTGTACGAGGCTAAGTAATTATCATCACATGTCAAGATCTCGACTCTTTGTGGCTGTGGGCTCGTTATGAGGGGAGCTGTGAGATCTGGAACGAAAGACTGAAGTAGGCTATGGTTGTAGAGTTATAATATAATGAAATGAATAATAATGGGTTGGGGCAGCTAACTTTGACCTTTTTTCATAATCTTCTTTTCATTTGATTATTTTTTTATCCGAGTTCTGTCTTCACCATCTCTCTAAGACACTCTCCTAGTTGAGGCTTCGGCAGGCTACAGCCAAAGACATACACCTTGACTGGACATTTAACTGGGCCCCACCCCAGCCAAAGGGAAAAAGCAAATCAGAAAAAAGAGCTCCGCCCTTCTACTGAAGACACAGCTTTGGATTTTTAAGTGTCATGGAATTATGCTGGGATGTTCAGGAACAACTGACGAAGTCTGAATAAATCCAAAATTTACGAAGGTTGAAACAATTCTATAATATCATGTCCAGAATCCCCTTCTACCAAGTATTTCCAGGGTCAGCATTTATATTTTAAAATTATTTACATACACTCTTCATGTTTTAAAGAAGTCGCAAATAGTGAAACTGGTATTGGTATTTATTTTTTAAAAAGGAGTATTTTCTTTGCTGTGTGACAAAAGCGAAGATTAATAAAGTAGAGTAGTCATGGACTGTAGGTTTTGACATTTTACAGTGCTCGTTGTAGTTCAGTGACTGTTGGTCTGGATATTTATCGTGCTGGTGGTAGTTTACCAAGCACTGTTTGACAATGACGATGGCTGCCACAAATCAGGACTTGCGATCGTTCCAGCACTGTAGGAAGGATATAGATCTGGTGTGTTTCCGTCTGCCGACCCAGTGTCCCCTGTGTGGTCAGTCTACCGCCACTACAGAGAGCAGAATCCCCCCATACGTGTTGCCATCACCTTTCGTTAGCTCCCATACGACCCCGAGAACCATCGTCTTGAAACCCACGGAGGGAGACTTCATCAGGTGATATCATGATTCTTATTACCTCATAATTATTCGTGTCAAAGTTCACAAGTGTAAGTGTAATGGCTTACAATGACATTGAAGATTGATTGTATGCTGCAGATTTTGAATAGATTTTTCTCTTTCATCGGATGCAGTTCTTGTAACAAAATAAAATCAAATTGCTCGATTTAAATATAATTTCTTCAGGTCTTTGCATTCATATGTGAGTCTAAAATTTTGGATGACCAACAGAATCTTTAGAATACTAATAGCCCATTCATGAAGTTCATTGCAAACTAAGGTTCCAACTCGTTTTCTTTGACTCTAGTCTAAAGAGGGTCCAAAAAAACATTGATTGTGTGTAAACCCCCATACTCGACAATAAATCAGTATTTTCACTTCCTCCTTTAAAGTCATTCACAAATGACGTCAGCTCAGAGGGGGGAGTGGGGGATGAAAAGTTGAGAAAAGTTGACATGGGGATTTGGGTGAATCCTTACAAAGTTGACATCAACCATGGTGATCTATAATGTTGGGGTAAAGAAGAAAAGAAAGGAAGAAAAATATTATACCACATTTTCTTGGCATAAAATTAACTCCATAATTGGACCATATTATTTCTTAGGCCTAAAAACTAAAATTGACAGTTATAACTCCCCATAGCACAGACTGCTAGAAGCTAGATTAGAACAGGTTCTATCTAAATGTATATGATGTACATTTTTGTTGACATCAACTGGGTGGGGTGGGGGGTGGGGGGTCCTGGGAAAGGTGACAGATGGTTACAAGGGGGACAGTGAGGGTCATTTTTGGCCAAATTTTAACTGATGTCATTTGTGAATGGTCCCATTATCAACAAGTGAGGGATCAGATACATTCAACACAAAAAAAATGAAGGTATTTTTTTACTTACTTTGTACCGGTACCTAAATGTTTCAGATGATGACTGTTGAAGACAATATAAATGTTTTTTTCCACAGAAACTACGAGAGAACTTGCGACCTTCACATTGGCGTCACTGACAGCAAAGGTAGCATTCAACATGACCTGATCGTACAGCATGTTTTTTCTTGTCTCTGTGTGCATACTTTTTTTTTCTAATAGACTACATTGAATAAAAAATGGCTACCTGTTTTGGACTTTTGCCTCTCTATCAAAAACTGGGTGTTAAGTGTCATGAGTAGGAAGTCAGTAAATCATGTCTCTGATTCACCCTCTATTTCCTGCTTTCTTTATTCTTTGCTTCTATTCTGTCTGTGTCTGTGATGATGTTGTGTTCCTCAAGAAAACGAAAGCGGTGTAAGCTATAACTCCTCTATGTTATAACCTATGGATTTGTTAGGTGTTTTCATAGATCTATGTAACCTGCTGATTTTTTTGGGGGGGGGTTTCATCTATGCAATTTGTTGCTTTACTTAACCCTATCTGAACGTCGTGTTTTGCTATCATATCCATACTATGTGGGAAACTCTGTGCCACCACTTTCAAAGAGGAAATTTACTCGTTAATCCGATCCGTACGCTTTGCATAGCAGTCTGTCAAAATGATTTTTTGAGAAATACTGAAAGTTTCAAAGAGGTCTTCGTACTAGAAGTATTCTAAAATGTGAAGAAAACAACCCCGGGGGTACAAAATGACCCAAGGCCGTAGGCTGATTTCTTTTTTGTTTTGGTCAATGCTAAGCTGTTATTGCTGTTGTCATGTAAGTTGTTGGTAGGTCGCCATCGTGAAAGTTTACAAAATTCACTTCCTTTTTTCAGCTTCTCATGTCAAGGTCTGCAACATTAATCATCGCCATCTTCATCATCAATATTATATTCACCGTTGTTATCTCTCCAGTTAATGTACTGGGGTTAAAGTGAGAAGTGTTTTTGGTTTATTCTTTCTCTGTCTATTTGAAAGATGTTTTTGTTTTTCCTTGCATACAAGGACTTGTGTACGACTTTGACGAGCGGGGTTTGAACCAGGGCTCTGTATGGCCTCACTGTCTCGTGGTTTGGACCCATGACCAGCCCGCTGAGTGGGACCAAGCCCTCAGCTATATCTGTGGACAGCCCGCATGGAGTGCGAGGAGGTATGTGGTTTGTCTTGTCTTGTTCCCAGCTACGAGTTGCTTCCCTTTTCTTTTTTGGTGAAAGGCTCTGCTTGGCCGTACATTCCTGTCTGGCCTTAATGGCTGGTGTATTTCACTGTTAATGTTTTTTTACCGAGAATGTGTTCTATAGTTGATTTGTGTTTCTACAGAGAATGTGTTCCGTAGTTAATTTGTGTTTCTACAGAGAATGTGTTCCATAGTTAATTTGTGTTTCTACAGAGAATGTGTTCCATGGTTAATTTGTGTTTCTACAGAGAATGTGTTCCATAGTTAATGTGTGTTTCTACAGAGAATGTGTTCTACATTTAATGTGTGTTTCTACAGAGAATGTGTTCTACATTTAATGTGTGTTTCTACATTGAATGTGTTCCACAATTAGTGTGTTTCTCACTGAATGTGTTTCCCGGTCTAAGTGTTGCTCGGTTAACGTGTTGCTCTGTTAATGTGTTTCACAATTAATGAGTTTCTGTCACATCAAAGATCTATTGTCCTATAAATCTCTCCTCCTTCTTTTTTTAAAATGTTACTGTCACAATTTCTAGTAACTTCGCTAATCTTCGGCACTTATGTGACCTACTTATGATGCAAGTGCAGTAAAATTCTGGCTAAAACTCAGCTAGCCAAATTGCCAACATTTCTGGCCACCTGTTGTATACTTAATCAACCGCTGATTGTCCCCCTTTGTCGTGACGTCACCACCACCAATTCTCTGGGTGGTTGGCGGGTGCTCTGGTGTGGTTTGCTCCTTTCCTTTCAAATATTATCATCCTGATCTCTCCTCCTTCTTTTTTGTGTTTGTTACTCTCTTGTAACTCCTCTAATCTTCGGCACTTATTTGACCTTGTTGTGTTGTAAATGCGGTAAAACTCTTTCTAAAATTAAACCACCAATTCTCTCCCCTTGTTGTGACCTCACCATCAACAATTCTCTCCCCTTGTTGTGTTGTCAGATACGACGAACACGGACAAAACTGCTTCACCTTCGTCCTCCACTTCCTGAGCCTCCTGCCAACCTCCCAGCGTGCCGGCGTGGGTCACATGACCAAAGAAGAATTCTGCGACAGTTTCTTGGTGAGCCGGACCAAGAAGGCGGAGCAATACATACATCTGTACCGTCAGGCTTTGGAGGCCGGCTGCGTCGTGGTGCCCAAATCTATGCACAGATGATGGGACACACAGACAATACGGACACACAGATAGACGAACAATACGTGCATAATCTGCACCGACAGGCATTGGTGGATGCTGGCTGCGACGTGGTACTCAAGTCTACAAGCAGATGACTGGACACTCAGACAATACTAACATGATACAAACAAACAATAACATCTGAACGGACAAACAGTGGAGGCCGGCTGCGTCATAGTGCCCAAGTCTGCGCACAGATGATTGGACACACAGACAATACGGACACACAGACAAACAAACAATACACACATGATCTGTACTGACAGGCATTGGAGGCTGGCTGCATAGTGGTACTATAGTCTACAAACATATGACTGGACGCTCAGACACTACTACCATACAAACAAACAATAACATCTGTACGGACAAACAGTGGAGGCCAGCTGCATAGTGGTGCCCAAGTCTACAAACAGATGACTGGAAACTCAGACGGATAAGATACATAGACCGATCTGAGACAGACCCATAGACAGACAGAAAGACCAACACACAGTCAGGTTTCAGCACAAACTGACAAGATCTTTCACTCTCTATAGCTGGGTACCCATTCATACAGACAGACAAACAATACATACATCTGAATGGACAAATGGTGGAGGCCAGCTGCATAGTGGTGCCCAAGTCTCAGCACAGATAACTGGAAACACAGATAGAAACATAGACAGATCGGAAATAGACACATAGACAGACTGACAGGTTTCAGCACAAATGATATTGAATCAACGCTTGATACCGGTAGACATTTTTTTCCAGATATTTGCTGCCTTGTTGTTTTTTTTATTTTGTTGTTTTTGTTAAATTCAGCTGAAACTTTAAGAAATATTTCGGAAGAAATTCCCCCAAATTTCTTTTTGTCTGCTAGTTAGAAAAAAACCCTAACCAAATGTAAAGAATTGAAACATAGCCTCTGAGAGGGTACACAATTGGTCGCTTTTAAGGACAAGCGGGCTAACCCAGATTTTGGGCGTTTCCAGAAATCTTGACCTACACCAAAAGCAGGCTTTGCCCTGCCTATACGAGAAGTTTGGTTTCATTGGTGTGTATATATTTGTTTGGTTATTGAGGGAACTCTCCTTGTCTCTTAAGGAAACTGAACAGGGGTAGAAAAACTTTACCTCCGATTTTCTCAAAACAGCGTTTTTCGGGATAGCCCCCTAGTGCTTAAAAGCGACCAATTGTTGTATGTCCAACTGTTCTGTTTTTTCATCTTCACTGTGCCAGGGAGGGAGTGGGTACCCGGCTATAGACAGCGAATGGTCTTGTCAGTTTGTTAGTGTTCGAGTAATTAATCTGCTGCTTGCACTGTATGCTTCCCAGGAGGCCAAGAATATTTCTGAGTGTTCTGGGGTCTGCTTGGGTAACAGTATAGATCAGATTGTAAAGAACGTAGAACTTGCTGTTGATTGTATATATATATATATATATAT